GATCATCTCTCCAGAAGCAGTTAAGAGAATGTTCGAGCGAGATTTCAATGAAGGGAAGCACGCGGCTCAACAAACCCTTTCCATGGATGATCGAAGATTCATGGCAAAGGTTAAAGAAGGAATTACCCATCGTTCAGATGGACACTATGAACTGCCATTGCCACTACGAAATGAATCGTTAGCCCTGCCGAATAACGAGAAGCTTGCAGTCCATCGCCTCCAGCAGTTGAAACTGAGATTTCGAAGAGATGAGAAATACAAAGAAGACTACACGGCATTCATGAATGACATGATTAAGAAGGGATATGCTGAGAAGATACCAAAGGACGAAGTTAGGAAAGATGGAAAGACATGGTACCTTCCTCACCATGGTGTCTTCCACCCTCAGAAGCCGGACAAGATCCGCGTAGTCTTCGATTGCTCCGCGGAGTACAAAGGGGAGGCTCTTAACAAGCATCTTCTCCAAGGCCCAGATCTTACCAACAAGCTTGTTGGAGTGCTATCGAGGTTCAGAAGGGAGCCAGTTGCCTTCATGGCAGATATAGAAGCAATGTTTCTGCAGGTCCACGTCACTGAACATTGTAGAGATCTGTTACGCTTCTTGTGGTGGGAGGATGGCGATGTAAACAAGGAGCCCACGTTATACCGGATGACCGTTCATCTCTTTGGAGCTGGTTCGTCTCCTGGTTGTTGTAACTTTGCGCTAAAGAAGACCGCTGATGACCATGAGCAAGAGCTTGGCTTCGAACCAGCCGAGTTCCTGAGGAAAGATTTCTACGTTGACGACGGTCTGAAATCTGTACCTTCTACAAGTCAAGCAAAGGAGCTCATACGCAAGACTAAAGAGATGTGTCGGCGCGGAGGATTTAACCTGCATAAATTTACAAGCAACAAAAGAGAAGTTATCGAGTCCATACCAGTGGAAGATCGTGCGAAAGGCATAAAGGAGCTGAATCTCGAGAAGGATGAACTGCCTATGGAAAGAGCGCTTGGTGTGAGTTGGTGTATTGAGTCAGACGCCTTCAAGTTCCGGATCGTGATGCAAGATCGCCCTTTAACGCGAAGAGGAATTCTGTCCACTGTTAGCAGTGTGTACGATCCGTTGGGGTTTCTGGCACCTCTAATCTTGACAGGAAAAGGCCTTCTGCAAGATCTGTGCAGAGGTAAAGTGGAATGGGACGACCCTATCCCCGAGAACATAAGATCACGTTGGCTGAAATGGAGGGATGAGTTACACCACTTAGAAGATCTCTCCGTTCGAAGATGCTTTAAACCAGAAGGTTTCGGAACGGTGATATCAACACAGCTTCATCACTTCTCAGACGCAAGCACGACTGGGTATGGCCAGTGTTCATACGTTCGTTTGGTAGACGACAAAGGCCAGATCCACTGTTCCCTGATTATGGGCAAAGAAAGAGTAGCTCCTTTAAAGATGGTCACCATACCACGTCTGGAACTCACAGCAGCTGTGGTGTCAGTGAGGGTCAGCGAGATGCTCCGTCAGGAGCTCCAGTATGAAAGTGTAGAAGAAATCTTCTGGACTGACAGTAAAGTCGTGTTGGGCTACATAAAGAACGACTCGAAGAGGTTCCACGTGTTCGTAGCCAACCGTGTTCAACAAATAAGGGACCGTTGGAGGAAGGAATCTCTTCATAGCTTACAAGAGAGGTCCAAGTGGACGAGACCACGCCGTAACATGCAAGTTGGCGACGTAGTTATCGTTAAAGACGACAACAAGGCGAGGAATCGGTGGAGCCTTGCTCGTGTGATAGAAACGTACCCCAAGAAGGCCGATGGACTGGTGCGTAGTGTCAAGGTAGCGATTGGAGACCCTGATATCTCCAGCACTGGAAAGAGAGTGCACCCCCCATCAGTTTTGGAAAGACCCATTCAAAAGCTTGTCCTGCTGCTTCCAAGAGAGGAAAGACTGGGATTCCCGCATGGGGAGCCATTCAACGAACACATTCAAAGGGAGGACTAGACACGGACATGTCAGTGAACTCCGAACTTGTTACTTTAATTATGTTTCGTTTTGTTTGAAATACGGTGATTTCAAGGGGAGCCATGTAAGTGCCCCTAAGGCACGGGTTTATCCCTTGTTTTGATTTAGTAATCGTTTAATTAATAATCTGTAAAAGTCACACTAGGTGCCTCGTCACGCGTTCCGTAAGTGGTATCGCATTTCCAAACAGAACGGATCTATTGTGCAATTCAATAATTCGATCGATTTCGCAAGCACTCGTGGTTTAATAGAAAGAAATTGTCTGTCGTTTTTATCGAAGGAAGGAAAGGTCCTTTTTGGGTCAACTCTCGCCAGATCCGGCAACAATGTAAGTTTAATTTACCTCGAGTGAATCTATAGCTAATTTCTTGTCCCTAATTTTGTGAATCAATTATTTTAGCTTCACGGTCAAATACGACATTTAATAAAGGAGGCGTTCCATGAAAGAAATTGGGGCGATATTTGTTGTGTCGATCAGTGAGATTCGTACGGTCCAGCTAGCGGCGATCAAGCGTCGCTATATTGAGCATTTAACTTCAAATGGTAACTTTCAGAGGGAGAGGGTCATTATATGTTCAGAGTGCAACAAATGTCTTAATTACCGAATAGGCTAAAGCCGGGCTTTACACAGAAAATGTAGCAAAAGAAAAACATGTACATGTTCATGTATTCTGCGGTTAAAAACAAAAGCGAGCCCGTAAGAAAGGAGATCTAGCTACATCTGCAGAGATTAAGAAGGCAAAACAGGCATAAAGGCCTATGGCCCTTGGCTCTCAAAAGCTATGGGCCATTTTTAAAAAGTACGAACCATTGCAATGATGGGATGGACTGGAAGAAAAGAAACATAGGTATTTTTGTTGGTGAGGTTGATTTTGATATTGTGTATTAGTTGTACAGTTTCTTGTAGCTTACGTGGTAATCAAATGGTTTAATCCAGGTGTGACTTACATAAAAGTCAAACAAACTCAAAACCTGTCCATTTCATGTGAAAAGCAATCACAGCCCTTTGCAGTATTGTCTTATGACGGCTTTTATATTCTTACTCTGTCAAAACGATCCTGTACCTTCAACTGTTAACTGATTACTGTCAGACTCAATCCTATCCAGGACTCCAATTGAAAAATGGTCACTACAAAAAAAAAAAAATGGTCACCCCATCCATAATCCATATTATGCTATATGAAAGTTTAGTTAGTCTAATGATACTATACGTTCGCAACACTTCTATTTGCCAAATTGTCAAGTATACTTGCTAGCCGACTAAAAAATTGTGTCAATGGTCAAAGGAAAGAGAGTGAGGAAACTGACTGTTAGAAGCAGAAACAATTTACTTCAAAGTTACCGAGACCGGGTAGCAAGTAATGTTCAATACAATTTCAGTGTATAGATCAGCCGAGAAACGTCTCTCACTTGGAGTGAGCTAAAATATTCATTTTGAAAAGTTCAATATCGAAAATAACGTCTTGACTCACTTGATAATTTATCACCAAACTTTCAAATGGAAAGTTGATGGTTGGACTTAAATGTTGCATGTAATATAACCCAATCTACAAAATCAGTTCTACTTAATCACCACTCTCTTTAGGTGTTTGGGTATGAGAGAGTTATGGAACTGCAAGAGAGGAAAAGAGAGAGAAAGGAGACATAGGCATTTGTTCCTTCCATAACTAGACCGAAAATCAAGACATTTATCATGTTTTTCCTTTTCTTTATCTGGTGGTTGCCAGTATGCCACTTCTGAGTTCCTGCGGTTCAGGGATCTGTTGCCGAAATTATGGCGGGAGGACGAGGCTAAGTGCGAAGTCATTCTCATCGATACAAAGAATTAAGTGCAGTGGTGGTGAAAGTGAGATAAAATTTTTCGGAATTCATTTGGGGAGAGTCATTTCCTGTATTTACATGCTATATGCCCATGGTGCACAGCCTCCTTAATCCCAGCACCTGTACAGTGCTGACACATTTTTTTCATAGCAGTCTTTATCACCTGTAGCTGAAATGCACATTGTACAGCTGGAAATCACACTTTTCATAGCCAGTGTATTTGGCTGGAAGCCAGCACTTACTGAAAATCCTGCTGAAGGAAAACGAAATAAGAACATATCTGAGTTTTAGGATAAGTTACATATAATCTCAAAGGTCATAGTCTCAAATTTTGATATTAAATTTACTTTGAATTCTTTTATTTATTTTTTACTGGGACTAATGATGTACACGTGAAAGTATCAACCGTGAACCTATAAACAATAGTTTTCTACTTGTGAGATCAACTAAAACTATAAAATTTCCTTATTTCTTGAGAATGCTTTTGCGTTATGCAAAAGAATAAAAAAAATTTCCTCCCTGTGCTCTGGAAATGATTATAATTACTAATGATCGAGTAAAAATATGCATTAAGGTCTAGACTGGTCATCCTGTAGCACTTTTTCCACTCTTTGCTAAGTGTGAGTTGGCAGATTCTTGAGCTGCAGGCATTCTTCTCTCTTTTCTCAAGCTTGTGAAATTAATAAAGAGTAAGAAGCACTTGGGAGGCTGCATTGTTTTACTGCATTGGAAATTGAATAGAGAATAACGCTAGATATATATTGGTTTTAGGTGTTCAACGTGATATATCGAGGTCCACATGAGGAGAGAAATTTACAACCACAAGCAACCATGCATTTTTATTCTTTCTCATTTTAACTTCTCAGTTTGTTGGCAACCACAATTTGAAAAAATTGACGAACAACCTTAGATTGAGAATTCTGGATGCTTTTTCTATCATTTATTACCCCGAAAAATGGTGCGAAAGGAAAGAGACGTTTCGGCAGCTGATTAGCAATATCAAACACGTCAAAATCGTAAATTTACAGAATCATGTACAGTTACGGCTTTCCCTAAGGCTGTTGTAAAAATCTACAGTTGATAGAATAAAAAAATTTCCCTACAATTTTGGAGAAAACTGTGTGACGCTTAAAATTCAGTGAAATGTAGCATTCCATGTCTGATTTAAATCTCACAGATAAACCAGAAAAGTTCAACTTCACAGTAAGTCAATCAACTGTGTGCCAGGGTTCTGTGGTCACGTTCAATTGTTCAGCAGATGGAAATCCCCCTGTGGATACATATCAGTTGTTAGAGAATGGTGTGCCCATGAGGAATGGCAGCAGCAGTCCTGGAATGTGGAGCAAGAACATGTCAACTGGAGGAGTGTTTAACTACAAATGCATGGCAAACAATTCTGTGGGAACAGCGTACAGCATGACGGCAACAGTTACTGTACATGGTAGGCAACAAATAGAGAATTATCTGTTGTGAATTCTCTGATATAATATTATGTGTGGGCTTATTAACTTTTGTTCTCTCTCAGATGTCACCAATTAAATGGAATATGCAATTTATAAACTTAGAGAAACCGGTGATTTCTTCCTAAAAAAAATCATGCCATAGATGTAGTGGCTACTGGTGAGTCTGGACTATTTTATTAGTTTGTGCTTATGAAATTAAGAGATCCTCGCAGCTAAGAACACTACTGAAACGAGTAGTTGAAAAAGGACCTGAAAAAAATTCAGGCCCATACGGGATATGAACCATGGCCTCTGCGATACCGGTGCAGCGCTCTACCAACCTAGCTTACAAAATTTTAAAGCTAGGTTGACAGTTGACAACTAAGCACAAAAATTTACAATTTTTGACTAATAAAGTGATTTAGACTCATTAGCAGCCACTTAATCTCATTAGCAGCCACTTAATCTATAACATGATTATTAATGCTCTTTACAACTACAGCGACGATCACTTGAGGAGCTGTGAATACCAAAATGCTCAAGAGAGGTTTAAAACTTTTTGGAGACCCATTTTTTTCCCATTTATATGTGCATGACATAACATCCTTCTTCACATAAAGAATGAGTTTATTTGTATTTAAATCATAGTATCATCATCCGTACAAGCTATGCAAGAGCAGAATGTAACTGAAGGCCACAATTTTACTTTGACATGTAATGTATCTGAAATACCTCCACCATTGGTGTCTTGGATTAGGCCTGATGGTCAGAGTGTTGCTGGAAAGGTATTGGAGTTTATGAAAATTAACAGGAGTGAAGCAGGAGAATACACATGTGAAGCGAGTAACGAGTGTGGCAACTCAACAGAGATGACAAGCATTAATGTGCAGTGTAAGCATTTCATCTTTAAAATCCATTACCATATTGCTTTAGACCCTGTGGAGAAAAGCATTTTGTAAAACCTTATGGCTGCTTTACATTTTGCTTTTTTACAGTTAAACCGGAGAATGTGGAGCTGGAAATATCTGCAATGAATGATAAAGTCTGTCAGGGTGATGTCGTCAACTTTACCTGCTCAGCTATTGCTAATCCAGCAGTGAGCTCATACCAGCTGTTTGAGAACGACACTGCTATTTTACCCAAAAATGCTGAAGGAATGTGGAACAGGACATTTACAAGTGGAGGAGTGTATTTCTACAAATGTGTGGCTAGTAACACGATGGGATCAATAAACAGCACGAGTGTTATGGTTACAGTCAACGGTAACTTCTTTGAATTTTGTCACTATAAATTTTTGCTTTCTCCCTTTTGCTTCAGTAAATGTTTTGGCGAAGTACATTTTTGGTGAGTTGATGACTTACCCTAATTCTTATGAAGGAACGATCGTCATTAAGTGAATCTTGTTCTTCATGTATGTATCCAAATTCTTAAATTATGCATGGGTGCATGTGTCTGTGCATCATTCTCTTCTTGTAATATGAACTCAAACTGTAAAAATTCCTCATTTCTTAGGAATAATGTAGGAATTATGCAAATGCATAAAAAAATGAATATATGATGAGTGTGTAGTTTCATAAACATGTATGTTTACAATTGGCATTTTTTATCTTTTGTTCTGTGCAGTGCCCTCTAAAGTTTATCCGTTGGAGAACATCACAGTGATAGAGGGAGAAAACAGGACTTTAACCTGTAATGTTTCTGGAAGTCCTGCTCTGACTGTAACATGGACAGAAGTTAGCAGTCGTAGTCAGTCCAATGGAATCATGCGTTATCTTACAAACATCAACAGGAGTAATGCTGGTGAATACGTATGTAAAGCTAAAAATGACTGTGGAAACAGCTCTGCCAGAACTTTCCTCACTGTGCTCTGTAAGTAATTATAACGACTAACGATCAAGTAAAAAAATATGGACTAAGGTCTAGAGTGCTCATCTTCCAGTACATTTTCCACTCTTTGCTAAGTGCAAATCGGTACATTCTCGAGCTTTGACGCATTTCTCTATTTTCCTCTGGCTTGTTTTAATTAAATTAATTGAGAATAAGAAGCACTTGGGAGGCTGCATGGTCTTACTGGATGGGAAATTGAATAGAGAATAACACTAGATATATAAATTCTTTTTAGGCGTTCAACTTGCTGGCTGGAAATCGTTGTAAAAATCTGTAGTTTATAGAATAAAACATTTTGCCCAACAATTTTGGAGAAAACTGAGTGACGCTTGCAATGCAGTGAGATGTGGCATCCCATTTCTGATTCAAATCTTACAGATAAACCAGAAAAGTTCAACTTTACAGTAAGTAACTCAACTGTGTGCCAGGGTTTTATGGTCACCGTCAACTGTTCAGCAGATGGAAATCCCCCTGTGGATACATATCAGTTGTTAGAGAATGGTGTGCCTGTTAGAGATAGCAGCAACAGTCCTGGAATGTGGAGCAGGAACATGTCAACTGGAGGAGTGTTTAACTACAAGTGCATGGCAAACAACTCTGCGGGAACAGCGTACAGCATGAGCGTAACAGTTACTGTAAATGGTGGGCAACAAATAGAGGATTGTCTGTTGTGAATTCTCTGAGTTGACATTATTTGTGGGTTCTTCAATTAAATACTCTTGCTTTGATGTCATCAATTAAATGAAATATGCAATTTATGAACTTGGCTTTCTAAGCATACCAGTAATACATGTAGATAAAGGTGACATTTAAAAAAGATGAAGCTGCAGCTGAGAGACTGGTAATTTCTTCCTACGAAATATTCATGCCATATATTTAGTGACTACTGATAATTCTAGACCATTTTAATGGTGGAAACGTGGAATTGTTTTTGCTTAGTTATCAGCTGTCAACCTAGCTTAAAAATATTCTTCACAACTACAATAAAGATCACTAGAAGAGCTGTGCATATCAAACTCCTGAAGAGAGGTTTAAAACTTTTTGAAGACCCATTTTTCCCCATGTACATGTGCATGACACAACATCCTTCCTTACCTAAGAAATAAGTTTTTTTGTATTCAAATCACAGTACCATCATCCATACAAGCAATTCGAGATCAGAATGTAACTGAAGGCCACAATTTCACTCTGACATGTAATGTATCTGGATTGCCTCCACCATGGGTGTCTTGGATTAAGCCCAATGGTCAGAGTGTTGCTGAAAAGGTATTGGAGTTTATGAAAATTAACAGGAGTAAAGCTGGAGAATACACATGTGAAGCGAGTAACGAGTGTGGCAACTCAACAGAGATGGCAAGAATTGATGTGCAGTGTAAGCAATTCATCTATAAAAGTCATTACCATATTGCTTTAGACGCTGAGGAGAAAAGCATTTTGCAAAACCTTATGGCTGTTTTAAATTTTTGCTTTTTCATAGTCAAACCGGAGAATGTGGAACTGGCAATATTTGCAATGAACAATAAATCCTGTCTGGGTGATGTCGTCAACTTTACCTGCTCAGCTCATGCTAATCCAGCCGTGAGCTCATACCAGCTGTTTGAGAACGACACTGCTCTTTTAGACACAAACGCTGTAGGAATGTGGAACAGGACATTTACAAGTGGAGGAGTGTATTTCTACAAATGTGTGGCTAATAACACGCTGGGATCGATAAATAGTAGAAGTGTTATGCTTATGGTCAGAGGTAATTTCTTTGAATTATGTCGCTCTAAATTTAGCTTTCTGCCTTTTGCTTCAGAAAATGTTTTGGCAAAGTACATGTTTGGTGAGTTGGTAACTGACCCTATTTCGAATGAAGGAACGATAGTCATGAAGTAAATCTTGTTCCATATATAATTATGTGTCCAAATTCGTTGAGGTATATATAGTCTGCGTGTCTTTGTGGTTGTGCATCATTTTCTTCTTGTGAGATGAATTCAAACCGTAAAATTTCCTTATTTCTTAGGATTGCTTTAGTGTTACGAAAAGGCATTAGAAAAAATGAATATATGATAAGTGTGTAGTTTCATTAAAATGTCTGTTTACATTTGTAATTTTCTCTATCTTTTGTTCTGTGCAGTGCCCTCTGAGGTTTATCCGTTGAAGAACATCACAGTGATAGAGGGAGAAAACAGGATCTTAACTTGTAATGTTTCTGGAAGTCCTGTCCTGGCTGTAACATGGACAAAAGTTGGCAACCTTAGTCAGTCGAATGGAATCATGCTTTATCTTACAAACATCAGCAGGAATAATGCTGGTGAATACGAATGTAAAGCTACAAATGACTGTGGAAATAGCTCTGCTGGAATTTTCCTTAATGTGCTCTGTAAGTAATTATATTTAATAAATGATCGAGTAAAAATGTGTATTAAGGTCTACTGCAATCATCTTGTGGCACACTTTCCACTCTTTGCTAAGTGCGTGTTGCTAGACTCTTTAGTTGTGAGGCATTCTCTCTCTTTCCTCAAGTTTTTTTTTAAATTTATAAAGAGTGAGACGCACTTAGGCCGCTGCATTGTTTTACGGTATCGAAAATTGAATGGAGAATAGCGCTAGATATATAAATTTTATTTTTAAGTATTCAACTTCATGTATAGAAGTCCACATGGAAAAGAAATTCATATCCATAAGCAAAAATGGTTATATTTTTTTAACTATTATTTTAACATCCCAGTTTTGTTAGCACCCATAATCTTAAAGAAATTGACGACCACAACAACGGATTGAAAATTGTGAATGCTTTATCAGTCACTTATGAACCTGACAGAATGGTGCAAAAGGCAAGTGACGTGTCGGCAGCTGATTAGCAATGTCAAACACGTCAAAAGTTATCGTAAATTTACACAATCAGGTACAGTTACGGCTTCCTTAAGATTGGAAATCATTGTAAAATCTGCAGTTTGTATAATAAAACATTTTGCTTTACAACTTTGGAGAACTCTGAGTGACGCTTGCAATGCAGTAAAATGTGGCATTCCATTTCTGATTTAAATCTTACAGATAAACCAGAAAAGTTCAACTTCACAGTAAGTAACTCAACTGTGTGCCAGGGTTCTGTGGTCACCTTCAACTGTTCAGCAGATGCAAATCCCCCTGTGGATACATATCATTTGTTAGAGAATGGTGTGCCTGTGAGGGATAGCAGCAACAGTCCTGGAATGTGGAGCAGGAGCATGTCAACTGGAGGAGTGTTTAACTACAAATGCATGGCAAACAACTCTGCGGGAACAGCGTACAGCATAAGCGTAACAGTTACCGTAAATGGTGGGCAACAAATAGAGAATTGTCTGTTGTGAATTCTCTGATTTGACATTATGTGTGGGTTCTTCAATTTAAGGCTCTTGCTTTGATGTCATCAATTAAATGAAATGTGCAATTTATAAACTTAGCTTTCTAAGCATACCAGTAATACATGTAGATAAAGGTGACACTTATAAAGATGAAGCTGCGGCTGAGAGACTGGTAATTTCTTCTTACGAAATATTCATGCCATATATTTAGTGACTACCGATAATTCTAGACCATTTTAATGGTGGAAACGTGGAATTGTTTTTGCTTAGTTATCAGCTGTCAACCTAGCTTAAAAATATTCTTCACAACTACAATAAAGATCACTAGAAGAGCAGTGCATATCAAACTCCTGAAGAGAGGTTTAAAACTTTATGAAGACCCATTTTTCCCCATGTACATGTGCATGACATAACATCCTTCCTTACATAAGTAATAAGTTTTTTATTGCATTTAAATCACAGTACTATCATCCATACAAGCAATTCGAGATCAGAATGTAACTGAAGGCCACAATTTCACTCTGACATGTAATGTATCTGGATTGCCTCCACCATGGGTGTCTTGGATTAAGCCTGATGGTCAGAGTGTTGCTGAAAAGGTATTGGAGTTTATGGAAATTAACAGGAGTAAAGCTGGAGAATACACATGTGAAGCGAGTAACGAGTGTGGCAACTCAACAGAGATGGCAAGCATTGATGTGCAGTGTAAGCATTTCATCTTTAAAAGCCATTACCATATTGCTTTAGACCCTGTGGAGAAAAGCATTTTGCAAAACCTTATGGCTGTTTTAAATTTTTGCTTTTTCATAGTCAAACCGGAGAATGTGGAACTGGCAATATCTGCAATGAACAATAAATCCTGTCTGGGTGATGTCGTCAACTTTACCTGCTCAGCTCATGCTAATCCAGCCGTGAGCTTATACCAGCTGTTTGAGAACGATACTGCTCTTTTAGACACAAACGCTGTAGGAATGTGGAACAGGACATTTACAAGTGGAGGAGTGTATTTCTACACATGTGTGGCTAATAACACGCTGGGGTCAATAAATAGTACAAGTGTTATGCTTAAAGTCAACGGTAATTTCTTTGCATTATGTCGCTCTGAATTTAGCTTTCTGCCTTTTGCTTCAGAAAATGTTTTCAGGCTAATAATATACATGGAAACATTACTCAGTTCTGATTGGTTAAGATAGATGCAGTTTTCAGGTTATTCAGTGCAGAAGAGAGTTAATTCGGTGCAGAAGAGAGTTAATTCAGTGCAAAGAAAGTTATAAATCAGACATTCTGATTGGTCAATAATCGAAAAAACTCACAGATAGCCAATCCAATGCCAACCTTGGATGTCGCAACAAAATTTCAAATTTGCGAGCGAAGCAATGGCCGGCGTTTTAAGTAGGTTTTCTTTCGCCACCGCAGCTGAAAAACAGCTCAAACATACAAAACGCTGTAAAAAGCACTGCTTAACAGGGTTAAACCTCGGAAACGACGATTCCATTTCATCGAAAGTGATTCGGACACAGACTTAATAATTCCTTAAACTGTTTAGCTGGAATTTGAACTCTTTTGCCCCTTAAAGAAGAGAAGATATCATTGCATATTATTGTTTTGATCGTACGCGGTTGTTGTGACCGAACGCACAGTTTGAATAAATTATTTTTGCACTTGATGCGTGCGCTTTACTTATGCTTAATTATGATAAGCCATCTCGTATTTTCCTTGTATATTATTAACACGTAATCACATAATTTTTCTCGTGCAATTTGGAATAAACAAGCACTTGCTAATTTTTTCAAAGACCACAAATTGCAATTTTGTTGGTCTTTAAAAAAAATTTACTCGTGCTTATTTATTCCAAATTGCGCTCGAAATCATGTGATTACCTATACAAAGTATATGTTTGGTGAGTTTGTAACTGAACCTATTTCAAATGAAGGAACGATAGTTATGAAGTAAATCTTATTCCATATATATGAATCCAAATTCCCAGAAGTAAATATGGTCTGTGTGTCTTTGTGTTTGTACATCATTTTCTTCTTATAAGATGAAGTCAAACTGTAAAATTTTTATTTATTTCTTAGGAATGCTTTAGCGTTATGAAAATGCATTAAAAAATGAATATATGATGAGTGTGTAGTTTCATAAACATGGCTGTTTACATTTGTAATTTCTTTTATCTTTTGTTCCGTGCAGTTCCCCCTAAGGTTTATACATTGGAGAAAATCACAGTGATAGAGGGAGAAAACAGGACTTTAACCTGTAATGTTTCTGGAAGTCCTGTGCTGGCTGTAACATGGACAAAAGCTGGCAGCCGTAACCAGTCCATTGGAATCATGCTTTATCTTACAAACATCAGCAGGAATAATGCTGGTGAATACGAATGTAAAGCTACAAATGACTGTGGAAATAGCTCTGCTGGAACTTTCCTCATTGTGCTCTGTAAGTGATTATAATGAATAATGATTGAGTAAATATATACATTAAGGTTTAGAGTGTTCATCTTGTAGCATATTTTCCACTCTTTGCTGAGTGCGAGTCGCTAGACTCTTGAGCTGTGAGGAATACCCTCTCTTTTCTCAAGTTTTTTTTTAAGTTTTAAAGATTATTAAGCAGTTGGGAGGCTAGAGTTTTATTGCATAGGAAATTGTATAGAGAATAACGCTGGATATAAATTGTCTTTAGGTGTTCAACTTGATATATCGAGGTGCACATGAGAAAAGAAATTTAAATCCAAAAGCAATTATGCATCAATTTTTTTTATTTTAACTTCCCAATTTGTGGGCAACCATAATTTTGAAAAAAATTGACGAATAACCTTAGACTGAGAATCGTGAATGCTTTGTCAATCATTTATTACCCCAAAAAAATGGTGCGAAAGGCAAGTGACGTGTCGGCAGCTGATTAGCAATCTCAAACACGTCAAAAAGTACCGTAAATTTACACAATCATGTACAGTTACCATTTTCCCTAGGGCTAGAAATTGTTGTAAAAATATGCAGTTTATATAATAAAACATTTTGCTCTACAATTTTGGAGAAAACTAAGTGATGCTAAAGTGCAGTGAAATGTGGCGTTCCATTTCTGATTTAAATCTTACAGATAAACCAGAAAAGTTCAACTTCACAGTGAGTAACTCAACTGTGTGCCAGGGTTCTGTGGTCACCTTCAACTGTTCAGCAGATGCAAATCCCCCTGTGGATACATATCATTTGTTAGAGAATGGTGTGTATGTTAGGAATGGCAGCAACAGTCTTGAAATGTGGAGCAGGAACATGTCAACTGGAGGAGTGTTTAATTACAAGTGCATAGCAAACAACTCTGTGGGAACAGCGTACAGCATGAGTGTAACAGTTACTGTAAATGGTAAGCAACAAATAGAGAATTATCTAATGCGAATTCTGAGATGTTACATCATGGGTGGGTTCTTCAATTTCTTGTTCTCTCTTTGATGTCATCAATTAAATGAAATATGCAATTTGTAAACTTGGCATTAAACACATATTAGAAATAATTTAGATTAAGGTGGCATAAAAAAAAGAAGCTTCAGCTTAGAAAAACTGGTAATTTCCTCTTGAGAAATATTCATGCCATAGATTTACTGGCTACTGGTGAATCTACACCGTTTTTATAAACGTGGAATTGTTTGTGCTTAGTTGTCAACTGTCAACCTAGCTTACAAATGTTCTTTACAACAACGATGAAGTTCACTACAAGAGCTGTGAATATCAAACTCCTGAAGAGAGGTTTTTAGAGACCCATTTTTTCCCCATGTGCATGACATAACATCCTTCTTGACATGAAGAATGAGTTTATTTGTATTTAAATCACAGTACCATCATCCATACAAGCAATACAAGATCAGAATGTAACTGAAGGCCACAGTTTTAGTCTGACATGTAATGTAACCGGAATGCCTTCACCATGGGTGTCTTGGATTAAGCCTGATGGTCAGAGTGTTGCTGGAAAGGTATTGGAGTTTTTGAAAATTAATAGAAGTGAAGCTGGAGAATACACATGTGAAGCGAGTAACGAGTGTGGCAACTCAACAGAGATGGCAAGCATAGATGTGCAGTGTAAGCATTTCATCTATAAAAGTCATTACCCTATTGCTTTAGACTCGAGAAAAGCATTTTGTAAAACCTTATAGCTGTTTTAAATTTTTGCTTTACATAGTCAAACCGGAGAATGTGGAACTGGCAATATCTGCAATGAACAATAAAGCCTGTCTGGGTGATGTCGTCAACTTTACCTGCTCAGCTATTGCTAATCCGGCGGTGAGCTTGTACCAGCTGTTTGAGAACGACACTGCTCTTTTAGACAAAAACGCTGTAGGAATGTGGAACAGGACATTTACAAGTGGAGGAGTGTATTTCTACAAATGTGTGGCAAATAACACGATGGGATCAATAAACGGTAAAGATGTTAGGCTTACAGTCAAAGGTAATTTCTTTGAATTTTGTCAATCCATATTTTGGTTTTCTGCATTAGTACATGTTTACAGAATCGGTAACTTACCCTATTCCTTATGTAGGAACAATACTCATCAAGTTAATCTTGTTTTACATATATGTGTCCAAATTCCTAAAAGTATATGGTTTGTGTGCGTGTGTGTGTTTGTGCATCATTTTCTTCTTTTGAGATGAACTCAAACTGTAAAGTTTACTTATCTTTTAGGTATCCTTTAGTGTTATGCAAATACATTAAAAAAAATAAAAATCGTGTAGTTTCATAAACATATATGTTTACGATTGTCATTTTTTTTATGTTTTGTCTTGTGCAGTGCCCTCTAAGGTTTATCCATCGGAGAACATCACAATGATAGAGGGAGAAAACAGGACTTTAACCTGCAACGTTTCTGGAAGTCCTGTACTGACTGTAACATGGACAGAAGTTAGCAGCCGTAGTCAGTCCAATGGAATCATGCGTTATCTTACAAACATTAGCAGGAATAATGCTGGTGAATACGAATGTAAAGCTATAAATGACTGTGGAAATAGCTCTGTCAGAATTTTCCTCACTGTGCTCTGTAAGTGATTATTATTAATACTGATCGAGTAAAAATATGCATTAGGGTCTAGAGTGTTCATCTTGTAGGACATTTTGCACTCCTTGCTAAGTGTGAGTCGCTAGATTCTTGAGCTGTGAGTCATTCCTCTCTCTTTTCTTAAGCTTGCTTTGAAATTAATAATGAGTAAGAAGCTGCATTGTTCTACTGCATGGGAAATTGAATAGAGAATAGCCCTTTATATATTATTTCTTTTTAAGTGTTTAACTTAATTCATCAATTCATCTCCACATAAGAAGAGAAATTCATATCAGTAAAGAAAGGCATACTTTTTTTGTTATTTTTTTACCATCCCAGTTCTGTTAGCAACTACAATCCAAAATAAATTGACGAACAACCTTGCATTGAGAGTTTTGAATGCTTTGTCAGTCACTTATGAACCTGACAGAATGGTGCGAAAGGCATGTGACGGGTCGGCAGCTGATTAGCCATATCAAACACGTACAGTTACGGCTTTCCATAGGGCTGGAAATCGTTGTTAAAATCTGCAGTTTGTATAATAAAACGTTTTTTTTCAGTGGTATTCCATTTCTGATTTAAATCTCACAGATAAACCAGAAAAGTTCAACTTCACAGTGAGTAACTCAACCGTGTGCCAGGGTTCTGTGGTCACCTTCAACTGTTCAGCAGATGCAAATCCCCCTGTGGATACATATCATTTATTAGAGAATGGTGTGTATGTTAGAAATGGCAGCAACGGTCTTGGAATGTGGAGCAGGAACATGTCAACTGGAGGAGTGTTTAACTACAAGTGCATAGCAAACAACTCTGTGGGAACAGCGTACAGCATGAGTGTAACAGTTACTGTAAATGGTAAGCAACAAATAGAGAATTATCTGTTGTGAATTCTCAGATATGACAATTTGTGTAGGTTCTCCAATTTCTTGCTCTCTCTTTGATGTCATCAATTAAATGAAATATGCAATTTATGAACTTAGAATTACGAGCATATCAGTTATACAAGTAGATAAAGGTGGCAAAAAGAAAGATTACGCTGCAGCCTAGAGAAACTGGTATTTTCCTCTTGAGAAATATTGATGCCATACATTTAGTGGCTACTGGTGAGTCTAGACCATTTTATTAGTGCTGCAACTTGGTAGGGCAGACTGTGCTTGTTGTGGTTTGTTAGCAAACAGTCCTAGCAAAGGAAATAGCAAACCCTATCTAACTTGTCAGTAGTTTTGAAAAGGCGCAGCTATACTTAAGACCAAGGAGTAAATGGCCAACTTTTAGAATTTCTGACAGCTTCTGCAGCCTTATTGGAGCCATATGTCTCTCTTGAGGATTACGCATTTTACGTGAAGTCTAAGCTTGTTGCTTGTGGGATCAAATTTGTGAGCTAGCGCGTTTAGTCATTTCTGATGACTTCTGCTGAAGGAAAAGAAATGGGAGAGGCAGGTGTGCTTGAAAATCTGGATAGATCATGATGTCCCACCGATTAACTTATTTCGACCTCATGCTATTGACCCCTTCTTTTGTGTGGTGTCAGTAAGCCAATATCTGCCTGCAGCTTCGTATATAAGGCCTGTGAAATAGACTCTAGTGGTGTGAAAAAGACACCTGGGGTAAGTAGACAACACTAGGAAAATGACTAAAGATGGGCTATTAGATGTAATATGACCATTGTCTCATGCAAATCTACAATCTACATCTTCTGCATGGGCAGCGAATGAGAAGAACTCGGAAAAAAGTCCCATCTTCCAGAAAGAGCGTATCTACAAGGGTAGTGAGTGTCTTTGGTCCAAACATGTTGCACAGTTACATTTCCAGTACCATCGTGGTGTTGCTTACATGTACATTCCCACCCTTTCTTACATGTATTAAGAGAGAAAAAATCAATCCAGTAATATGTATGCAACTCGTTCATGCAATGTAATTATTGAAGCATCTCCTAACGATGTACCTCTTCGTTCTCTGAACTCAGCATGGATCACAATTACTGTACATTTGCCCTTGATACAACAATGCTGAGAAAATCAATGAGAATGCTCACGCAGACATGCCATATTGGCATTTCTGCGTCGCAAGAGCCTTGGCTTCCCTTGCTAGATCAAAAGAAACTATCGGCCACTGCATTTGACGTGTAAGTTATTGAGCACGAACAGCCACCCAGTATGAGCTGTGACAGTTTCAGTTCCCAAAACATGCACTGTATCACCACTTTGACATAGTCCAAAACACGAGGCGATCGTACCTACTTTGAGGTACTTGAAGAGCTCTATGATACATGGCTGCATCTTCTTTTCCGGCCTTCAACCGCCCTAGGAAAGGCCTTTATCTTCACACCAGGTTTGATGTGGAAATGTGGGCTCAAGGAAATGCTCTTTGATGGCAATGCAGCCTTTGTCATTCATAGTGAAGAGAATAAGACAGATACTGAGTTATAAATTTCCTTATGCCTCTAGTCAGTCCAAGTGAAGAAAATCTGCATCAGGGTGGAAGATTTCATAAACAATCCCAAAATCAAAGCTGATAACGCCACCTTGCAAGATTGCTAGTGAGCTCCCCAATCTGAGCTCCACAAGTTGCATAATTTCAGGCAGAAGTCGGTAAATGGCAAGGGCAGTGAAGGACTATGATGGCTAAGCTGTCCAAACATACTGAATGCGGAGAAAAAAAGATAGAAAAAAAGGAAAACAGTGCTCGTGGTGTGTAATTGGATTTGCGTGCACTAGACATGCGTTATCACCTTTTTTCCCACACGAAAGTGACATATGAAACACCTGCATGAGGCTTGAAGTATTACTTTCTCTGCTCAGCCAATTTCATCATTAATGATATGCTATGATATGTGAGGAATGAAATACCGCCGGTACATCGAGTCACCTCTCTTTCAGTCATAGGATGCTATGGCTTGCAAGTAGAGCAATGAGACGGTGCGTGAACCCATCTAGTTCAGGTATAATTAGGGCAAAGGTCTAAAGCATGGTAGTGCGCATTCACCTTTTTTTTAGATTTAAAAGGTGGAAATGTTTGTGCTTAGTTGTCAACTTTCAACCTAGCATAGGAATATTCTTTACAACTACAGTTAAGATCACTAGAAGAGCTGTAAATATCAAACTCCTGAAGAGATGATAAGAGACCCATTTTCCCCATGTTCATGTGTATGGCATAACATCCTTCTTTATATAAATAGAGACTTTATTTGTATTTAAATCGCAGTACTGTCGTCCATACAAGCAATACAAGATCTGAATGTAACTGAAGGCCACAACTTATTTCTGACATGTAATGTATCTGGAATGCCACCACCATGGGTGTCTTGGATTAAGCCTAATGGTCAGAGTGTTGCTGGAAAGGTATTGGAGTTTATGAAAATTGACAGGAGTGAAGCTGGAGAATACACATGTGCAGCGAGTCATGAGTGTGGCAACCCAACAGAGATAGCAAGCATTGATGTGCAGTGTAAGCATTTAATCTTTAAAATCCTCACCACATTGGTTTAGACAATGTGGAGAAAAGTATTTTTAAAACCTTTTGGCTGTTTTAAATTTTTGCCTTTTAATAGTCAAACCGGAGAATGTGGAGTGACACGTAAAAAGCAGAGATCTGTGACATTCTATTTCTCATTAAAATCTTGCAGATAATCTCCAATTTTGGAGATTTTTGAGTGACTTCTGTAATTCATTGAACTGTGGCATTCCATTTCTCATTTAAATCTTACAGATAAACCAGAAAAGTTCAATTTCACAGTAAGTAACTCAACTGTGTGTCAGGGTTCTGTGGTGACCTTTAACTGTTCAGCAAATGGAATTCCTCTGGTGGATACATATGAGTTGTTAGAGAATGGTGTGCTTGTTAGGAATGGCAGCAACAGTCTTGGAATGTGGAGCAGGAATATGTCAACCAAAGGAGTATTCAACTACAAATGCATGGCAAAGAACTCAGTAGGAACGGCGTACAGTATGAGTTTAAACGTTACGGTAGATGGTAAGCAAATATTACCAAATATCAACTGCAGGAGTTGATAGAGTACTGAACCGGCATCGCAGAGGTCATGAGTTTAACTTTCATCGGCCCCTTATGACATCTGATATGGATTCTTTTGACTTTATATCAAGACACCAGTGCTGAATTGAAAAGAGCTCAAATACTTCCCTCTCCATAATTAAACGAAACGAGTACTGGACGTTAAGTACGAGTAAAGACATCATCTTCGCAAGTGAACTGCATTCAGACAAATTTAGAAAAAATTAGTTCCTCCCTCAATTTTTTTAGGCCAGGAACATGCCGACAGATCCGCATAGTAGATACTCGGATACTTTGCTGTTCAGAAGACAAACATATAGCTGCTTTCATAATGTACTGGTTTGCAATATGGCCGTTACGAGATTATAACCTACCATTATTTAATTTCAAATAAGAGAGACGTAATATATGGAGCAATTATTTCTTTTTTATCACGAAGGTGTACAAGCAATAGATAATAGGACAGTCACTGAAGGAGGAAATGTGACTTTGACTTGTCAAACATACGGAAGAAGCTTCCAAAGGCTAACTTGGTTCAAACCTGATGGTCAATCTGGAGATGAAAATGTACTGGAGCTTGTAAACATTAGCAGGAATGAAGCAGGAGAATACAGATGTGAAGTCCATAGTGAATGTGGCAATGAAACAGAAACAGTAAACATCGATGTCCAATGTAAGCGAATTTTCATATCATTTTTATGTTTGTTCAATGAATGTTTCGCAGCTGTTCTGAAAAAGGTACATTTGATGCACTGGCAATTCTTGATAGTCGCATGTTTTTGGTTGAATGAAGTTATTTTAATTGAGTGATGATAATCAATCTTAATCGCACTTTATGTAAATTTAATAGCTATCCACATTACGTGAAATTCGCTTGATCAATCTTTTTTCTTTTTATTTTATGTAGTGTTGATCTATTACTGTTTTTCCTTACATTGCCTTAAAAAGTGTTTAAATTTATAAAACACCTTAACGCAGTGAATTTGCTTCTTTCTCTGGACACTGGTCTTTTGTTATTCTTCTAGACAAACCAGAGATCGTGGATTTAAAAACATCGTCATTTGCTGGCACACATTGTCAGGGTGACATCATCAGCTTTAATTGCTCAGCTTATGCTAATCCATCCGTAGCGTCATATCAGTTGTTTGAGAACGAAACTGCTATCCTAGACACAAACCCATCAGGAATGTGGAACAGGAGACTGCCAGCTGGGGGAGTGTTCATGTACAAATGTATGGCCAACAACTACTTGGGATCAGAAGACAGTTTACCTGTTATTGTCGAAGTGAATGGTACGCTTAACTGCGCAGTTTAGTGAAGCTGTAAAGCTTATTTTATCTGCGTACATTTATCAATTTACATCAATCTGTTAGTTGCGCTGCATATCCGACCAAAAAATTAAATTGATAGAAAAAAAGGAGAAACTGCGACGAAAAATCATGTCCTCTTCAGTAATGCTTACCTTTATACATTTCAGTTCAACTAAGGCTATCAGAATCCTTCAATCAAATTTTTCCAATCAAAAACAATGATTGTTATCCAATTATTTCAGTCCGTAGAACCAAAGCATACTCCGAAGTTGGTGACTGCATTTATAAACCTATTTGCTAGATTATCTAAATTCGTGAATGAAGTTATTAAGGGAAGAGACAGTTACAATTTAGATCATGACGCAAACTTTGTACGATTTGAAATAGGATCATAACTTATCCTATCTGTGCTTGACTGTGGTTGAACAGTACACCTTTAGAAGTACACTGTATGAGAATTCTTTGTTCTGTTTCATACCTCAGTGCCTTCATCTATACCTGCACTACAAGATCAGAGTGCAACTGAAGGTGACAATGTGACTCTGTCGTGTCCTGTATCTGGAATGCCTCCCCCAGTGGTGTCTTGGATGACACCCAATGGTCAGCGTCACAGTGGCAACATGTTGGAGCTTACAAGCATTAACAGAAGTGAAGCCGGTGAATACAAATGTGAAGCCAGCAACGAGTGTGGCAATGCAACAAGGACAGCAAGCATTCATGTGCAGTTGAAGTTGCCCGGTACACGTGTCCTTATTAGCGTACCTTTTCAGTTATCGGTTCATAATATTATTCCAAGTCAACAAATCTGTATTGGAAATCATGTTCCATGTTCTTCAGGACTGACAATTTTTCTTCCTTGTAATGAGTCTTCGTTATGCGATAGCACCTTAGTTTGTTGTTATTGGTATGCTATGGCACGCTCTTATTGGTTCATTTCGATATTCATAATTATTCTGACTATTAGATATTGTTCCCTTAAAGGTCCCCTTTGTAACAGATCGGTTGTTATGCGTTTTGATCATAAGCATCCATTGATGTTATTAGGATGAATTCTTATGTGGACGGCTTCTTTAACCTTACTTGCGTAACACTAAGAGTCATAATCAAAAAAGTCTAACCTGGCCCCAAACAGGAACCGGTCCTGTTCCAAAGGCGTGTTCTGAAACCACCAAAATTCTGAGATTCTTTAATTCTCTGTCTCCCTGTTCCTCCGATGTATTCTTTGTCACATTTACTTGTGATTTTGTAAAGAACGCCCTCCCGTTGCACGTAAACTTTCAAACTTGTTGCCTAACTAGCAGTGGAACAGTCGAAGCGTTGCAATCAATACACAATTGATTAGCCTGACACTAACATCGTGAGAAAAACGATTAAACCTTTAAATCTATAAAGCCACGATCTACAACAACATTTTCTATGATAAAATAATGCTCAGCGCAGTGACAATAATTCTATCTCCTGACCTTGGTGTTGCAGACGGTGATATGATATGGCCAAAATATATATTTTTAACAATACTGTTGCAAATATTATTTCCACTTTCCAATTCCAAGTGACAATTAAAAACACAATACAGCTTTTAAGGCTAGAATCTTCAACCTTGAAACGCTTTTCTCAGAACAAAAAATTCAAGAGAACAACCTAATCAAATAGAAAATATCTATCAACCAGTAAAAATATATGATTTGAAAAGCTCTGGGAGTAAGTTTTTGGCTCTCCCGCTTAAAACATTAGCGGAACTTTCATTCATTCAATAACTTCTTTTGACTTTTGTGCTTGTAGGAAACCCTTGCCTTGTGGAATGTACCAATGGACAAACTTGCAGAGAATTTGGAAAACACTTTTGTCTTTGTCCAAAGGGAAAAAAGGGAAAAGATTGCAAAGAAAATGGTAAGTCAAGCGAAGAAAGACGAATATTTTGACCCATTGGTTGACGAGACGTCAATAAATTGAATCTCGAGGATGTAAAGGGGGAGGAGAACTACGAGATTGCTTCAAAAAATCCGGGAATGTAAGCTCGCTAGTTCCCTATAATTACCCGATAGGTCAGGATTTTACTAAATACGAAATACCAGAAACCGAATTATTAGTGTGGTATGTGAGGGCCCTTTTTTCTTTGCTACAATTTCGCTGCTTTGCTAAATAGTAGGTAATGAATGTTAATATGTTGCAAGCTACATCTTCAGGCTAATTAAGTTGGACTTCCGTTTATCTTGCTTCAATAGACACAGTGACAATTGTTATCATGATCAGCCTTAAAATTAGCAATAAAAAGTGGAGAGAGGAACTTACAGACTTGTCTGACCTAGATACACAACTGTTTGTTGGAATAATAATACGTTCGGTAAGTCATTTGTGTTATCATATTTTTGAGAAGGTGCTCACTACTTAATTAAATAAAAAATCAATAAGAATGAGATATTTTCTATCCAACAATATAATCATTGCTGCAGTATCATAATTCGTTAGGATTTTCTCTATTAAATACTGCAATAAAACAGAAGGAAGAAAGTTATCTTAGTCCTCCTTTGCTCTGTATAGAAAAGCTTTCCTTAACCCAATTGCTCTAAACATTATCGGGGAAATAAACCTCGTTTTCTGTTGAAGTGCGTGTAGAGAGCAAGGTATCAATAAGTGAGGAGTCTCTTACATACAGAGTGCAAAAAATTTTCCTGTGACTAAATTGTAATAAAACAAGTCAAAACACCCTTATGTCCTTTCGTATAATTATGAGCTTATCCCTACTCTCCTTTCCCTACCATACTTACTTGTGATTTGGATATCGTTGCTTTTTAGGTCGATGAAGAATTTAAAGGTTCTGGCGTTAGAGAAATTAATGTAACGCACCTGAGGTATCATCATTCATCGATGACGAAATCTACTTATTCTACTTTGATTTTAAAATTCTTTATGTTTCTGGTTGAGATACTCTTTAAAACGTTAAAGTTGAAGAAAATTTTGGATTTACTTTTCTTATCTTTTTATAGAGAGGGAAGTGTTATCGCAGACATATCGCTCACTTTTGACGAGCCTGTTGGAGAAAGTGAAGTAGAATCATTGCTTCTAGATGCAATTAACGATGGAAGCCTTGGTACCCTAAAAGTAGATACTTTTTCTGTAGGATCAACTATTTCAGGTGTGTATAAACTTTCAACGACGGTAATTTGGATTGCTCCTAATGAAAATTGGGTCTGTGACCTGCTAATTTGTACTGAAGAGGAATTACATATGTGGTGGGAACCCTCGGAAGCTACGCTTTTAACTTTAAGCTCGTGTGACAAACATCTTTGTGATATTCTTGTACAGTGGGTGTGCACCGAAAACATTATTTGATTATAAGGCCAAAGAAAAATTAAGCGACATTTTTTTATCTGTTATGGATCGCTGATAAATGTGCATAGCTGTGTTTTAATCAAAATAACTCTTATTAATTCAACTGAACAGTTAAGAAAGGCATTGCTTCTGTAAACTGTATGTCATTTATTCACGATTTAGTTACTGTTCCCCGTCCAGTTCCATCTGAACCAGCAAAAGTGAATAAGGATGCTATTTATGGCTCAGTTATTGGGGTCCTTGCCTTTATGTTCGCTGTTGCTATTATTTTCATTGCCTGGAAGCGCCGCAAACGTAAGTAGAGTTAATTACCATATTTAGTTGGTAGATGCTCTGATTCGAGATGCCAGTAACCGAGATTTATGATTTGTGGACGATTGACAAAAGGAGATTCATTTGAAAAATATAATGGAAACTGAGAGGGGGAAGGAAAGAAGAAACACTCAGGAGTAGGAGAACTTTTATTATAGTGTAATCATTTCGCAAAGTCTTTCAATTCATGACATCAATTAGCGGCATTACGCTTACTCTCGTTCAATATATAATTATTATTATTTCTGAATGGAAGTACTTACAAGCGAAGGAGCTGGAAATACATGAAGCTTAATTGATGAGGACTTTTTGAATTTTAAAATAATTTACGCAGCTGTTTTCTCTTCATCTAATGTCTTTTTTTGTTCTTTCCACACTTCTTAGGTGAAAAAGATGATCGGTAAGATGTCATTACTATAAAATGTTAGAAGAACATCTGTAGATCAGATTGGTAAAAAACAGGCTTTGCTCGTATTTGTAGTCCTGTGAAAAGTTTCTATTGTTAGTATATGTTAATACTGTCCCATATATAAAAGCGTAACAGTAAGAGAAAGAAAAAACGGAGTGAAACCGATTTAGTGTTGTTACGTTGCATGATAAACCAATATATGGTAGTGAACATTTTACAAAAAAAAAAACAAATATTTTGTGTGTAAGGTTTAGTCAGTTTCTTAGAAACTACTTCTAGTGTTTGATTTTCTTTTAGACTTAATACAGTCCTTAAAGAGTCACATAGGCCTCACATTGTAAGTACGGAGTACATTTTGTTCGAATAATCTACTTACTCTGTGAGATCAGCAAATATCTGTTTGGCAATTAAATGTCGAAAGCTAAAGCAAAGTACGCATACCTTCAATTTTTTTTTCAAGGCCCTTGGGACTTGAATACCGTGAATCAGTTGTATAAAGATAGTGTTACATAGGAAGAAATTGAAGCTGTATTTGCGAGTCAAATCTTCTTAGTACTCATTCGCAAGTGCTCACAGAAAGAGCGTTAAGTTCAGTGGATGACATCATAGTATTCAAGAATCCTCTAAAATTTTTGTCGTAAGAAAGGTTACGATTGCGTGCGATTCTCCTTTATTCTGGTCGCAAAATGAGTGAATTAAAATGAAAAAACGTACAATTCCCTAAAGGGGGTAAGTTTCTAAAGAAACTGTGGTTCTGCATCGGTGGGAGAGTATAGCAGGTAATTTAGTGTTAACAACTGAGTTGAAATGGTAAATTGGCCACCGTAAAGGGTAAAAAAAGCTGACGTTTCGAGCGTTAGCCCTTCGTCAGAGCGATTGAAATAATTCCATAGACTGGACAATGCACCCATTAAATTTTGCATGAAACTTCCCTTAAAATTACGAGACCTCTTCCTTGCTAGTAACCAATCTGAATGGGAACAAAACAGGTTAGACTAAGCGTGAATCTCTTTTGATTGGAAAACAGAACGAGGCAATTGAACTGGAAAGTAGCGATGGGAACCTTAGCACCGTGGTGCATCATGGTCGCGGAAATTACATGGAACTGAATGAAGTTAGATCACTTAATGAACCTGCCACGGACCCAGCGCGAAGTTATTTAGAAATAAACGAATACGCTCCCCTGCATCCAGGAACGCGCTCATGGGAAGTGGAAAGAGAAAATGTAACGATTGAAAAGGTTATTGGAAAAGGTGCCTTTGGTCAAGTCGCCCAGGGAAAAGCTTCAAACCTTCGAGGAAGAGAGGAGACAATTACAGTTGCCATAAAAATGCTGAAAGGTACTCTGTTCATTATCTAAAAAGCGTCTTAGTTAAGATAAAGCTTTACTGTTACCGGAAAGTCGTCCTTTTCTCTAGATAACGCCACAGACACAGAGAGGAAAGACTTGCTGTCAGAGCTTGAAGTCCTGAAGAAACTCAAGCCTCATCCACACGTTATCAAGTTGCAGGGTTGCGTAACTGAATCAGGTGCAGAAAGTAAAATGAAACTGCTTAGTTTATGTCTCCTTGTATCACCCTGAAAACTTAAGGCCAAAATTGCTCTGAATTCATGATTTCTTGCTCTCTCATTATACCTAATCCCGTCATTGCTGATCCTAACAGTATCAACAAAGGGTGTTTGTAGCAATTGCGCCTGGTTTGACCCTGATTTGAATTTAGAATGCCCTTGACATAACTGCAAAGTTTTTCGTTTTCCCATTTCTGTAATTACCACCTTTAGGTGATAATGTGGGCGATGTTCTCGATGTTTGACATATTTTTTTAGATCCTTTGCTTGTACTTATCGAGTATGTCCCGTATGGAGATCTCCTGGGCTATTTGAGAAAGAGCCGACATTTAGAAGATAATTACTTCAAGGACCCGGATATTAAGCCACAGACGAGTTTGACTTCCCGGCAACTAATGAAGTTTTCCTGGCAAGTAGCCGATGGTATGCATTATTTGTCCTCAAAAAATGTAAGTTGGTTTTAGTATAAAAATAAGTTTACTGTCTCGGCGGCAATAGATGCAAGGGATACCTTTTTCATTTCAATTTTCATCCAAATTTTCATGTGCGTGAAGTAAACTTGGATACAAGTGACTCAAGTTGGAATTTGTTTAATACTTAAACAAAGGAAATTTTTCCAATATGGTTTAGTTGACCTTAAAAGGATAATAGAGCTTTATGTTTGCAATGATCAAAAGCGTCCATTGCATCTCTCACTTTTGTTTCGTTTTTGTTTATGAGATCGAAATCAATGATCAGACAACGGAGGAAAAAGCATTTAGTGGAATGCTTTTAACTATCCATTAATGCTCTGTGTTATGCACGACAGATTATTCACCGCGACCTTGCAGCCCGGAACGTCTTGGTTGGAGAGCAAGAACGATGTAAGGTAACCGATTTTGGAATGGCAAGAGACGTCTGCCAGGAAAACATCTACGAAAGGAAATCAAAGGTTTCTGATTTCATTATCGCGATATGTTGTGTTTGGCTAATCCCGTTATCTATCAGTATTGATATATGCTATCTCAACCTCCTGTCACTTTGTTTCTCAATAATGTTTTACACTTCATCATTGTCAGAAAGTCCGCGAGATAGACAAAATGAAGAATCATCGCTCTTTTTCTTCAACATTTCCTTTCACCATGTTTCGATAGGGAAGACTGCCAGTAAAATGGACAGCTTGCGAAGCGCTGTTATACGGACGATATACTACGAAAAGTGATGTGTAAGTAGGTCTAATAAGCTGATAAACAGTTTTAAAGAAAAAAAAATTCAAATCTATTCATGTTTAACCTATAATTTAATTATACCTGTATGTGTCAACTTGCAATGAAGCCTGATGGCATTTTCTTTACTCAGATGGAGTTTTGGAATTGTGCTTTACGAAATCTTTACGATAGGTATGTCAGATAATTGCGTTTCAGTGTATTTTATACAGATGGCGCACTTTTTGATCGATTCGCTTTCTTCGTGTTTAATCTCTCGTCTTAGGTGGCTCTCCTTATCCGAAGATTGACGGAAGAAAAATGGCAGATTTACTGACTCAGGGTTACAGGATGCCTAAACCACGACACGTGGACGATACCCTGTAAGACTATGGACCATTAATTTATTTATTTAATCATGAACTTGCTATGAAAAGTTTAGAATTTTTTTCATTACCTCTATAACTCTTTAGCAACGAGAATGGCATTCCAGACCTAAACAATCAAATATCAATCTTTTGACCATTATTTTCTTTGACTTCCTAGTCATAGAGTTCCAACTTTCGTGCTTAGGTAGCTCCGAAAAATATGTTGTGAAAAACCTTTTAGTAGAATTCATATCACCAAAACCCAAGTTTTATTTAATTTTTTTTGTTTTATTCAGTTACAAGATAATGCAAGACTGTTGGCAAGAGAACCCAGATGATCGCCCAATTTTTGAGAATCTTAAGAACGATTTGAAGGAAATGGAAAATCAACATCAGGTGGAATATTTACAAAGTAAATTTAAGGCTTGGTCACCTTTTGATTTAGAAGTCGTTTAATAGATTCTCTTTTTATTTTTCTTTACAGAGGCTCATCAACATGCAACATTATGACAACATCCTTTACGCAAGCATGGATTAGGCTCTTGTTCAAGAATTGTGGAAACAACTCTTATCATCATAGGCGGAAACCGTTTCTTCCACACACCTCAAGCAATAGAAATTTAAAACTAGATGTGTCCTGATGCTAAATCAAGTCCCTTTTATAATGCAGCTAACAACCAAGGGAAGTACCCTGCCCATAAAGCGACGTAAAAGTCGGAGTAAAGTGATCAGTTGTTGCTAATTACCATGTAGTTTAATTGGTATTTGGTATAGAAGTCAAGATGAACCATTACCTATTATATCGATATTTAGTCAATAGTTATTAGAATGATTTAATTAGGATAACTGCGCATTTTAAGCGTTGTTCAGCCCACTTTATTGAATGTTGCACTCGAAAATAAGGTTTTGGTTAAATGTTAGATGTTATTGCTGACACACTTTAGAAACTTTAGCTGAGGAAGCGCTGGAGAAATTGTTTTCGTTATTGCATTCTGTGAGCTAATGGACATTTAAAGTTTGGAATGAGCCTGCATTTTGATATATAAGCAAGTAGCTTAAATGCGTCCTTGAATAAAAACTGCAACCACAAGCGAGCAGTGTGCATTTTCCAGTAGAATACACTTTTTGGATGCTCTTTCCTGTGCCATGTTGAGAGCTTCGTAAAGTCGAAGCCGGGTTCGGAAAGAATTTACCCAACAAATGCTGGCATAATGAATGTCGTTCAAAACGCAATACTAGGCTTGATAATCTCCGATATCCGACGTACCAGATTTTGGGGATTCACAAAAGTCACGGAATTAGTCCAATGATTTTGACCTAAGCGTGCAGCTTAATCGCATATTGAGTAACTCGGTCTCTCATTTCTCGTAATGATGAGTGCGAGCGTGGCTGAGTGTTTTTTACAGATACTACAATAGTACAGGCCGCTATTTGATTGTTTTCTGTCAGTTTTTGTTTCTGTTTTTTTTTTTGCTTGTTTGTTTGTTTTTTTTCTCATAGTATTGTAACATTTTTTGCATTGCATCTTGCTTTCTCTTCAAATTTCTCCGTCTACATGGAGAAATTCGAGGAGGGGGCATTGAAATTGGCTAGGAATCCACTTCCTTTATATTAGAGATAAGTGGATGATACCATCACAATACTAAGTGCACCAGCAATGGTAATAAGAATGTTATACACGGGTTTATCCGATATCGTTTCTTTACTACTTTTTGCACTTCTTAGATGAGAGAGTTGATCGGTAAGATGACTTTGCCATAAGTAGTCTAATGTATAAGAAAATACACGCATCTCATTTATTAAAAACAGAATTTCTTCATGTTTACAGCTGTCTAAAAATCTTTCCACTTTAAGAGAATTTTATGATGTGACTGTCAACCATTTCGTCTTGATAAAAGCGTCGCCTTAAGTATAGTAGATTCGATGTTGAAACGATGAAAGAGTAACTAATTTAGGTCACATGATATCTTGTTACAAAAACTAAGATTTACATTCAGTGAATATCGACTCCTATGACGATTGATTGTACCTATGCTGTCCTTCAATTCCTTAGGAGCAAAAGAATCATGTTGGCCTGAAATGAAGTGAATTTACTTCAGACCGTCTACTCTGTTATAATTACGTGTAATTAATATCTGTTTGGCAATTGGTGATTGACGTTAACCATATGTCATGCAGATAATATTTGGATACAAAGGTTTAAGTTCGCTGTGCAGGCTGTTCAAAACAACTCCCATCCAGAGTTTACTGTGTTGTATTTACAAATCAGATCACCTTGAAACTGATTCCTAAGTACCTGATTCTGGTTGAAATTTGGATGAGATCGCCTATGAAAACTCAAGCACTCTTCCCTGCCTTATTTAATCGCTTTCTATCATAAGAGAGGTCATGGTAGCCTACGAGTGGCCGTACCCTCCCCTGCGAGATAAAACGGAAGCGAGGGACCGTCTACGAAAACCTGACACTATTTAATCTATGCAACAGTATGTAAATTGATAATATTTCTGCGAAATGGCCTACGAAACCGCTAGAAGGGAAACAAACGGACTCAGCAATGCTCCCTTCGAGATTCAGCCCGCAAAGCGTCAGCGGGATGGAATTTAAAGATCCTCATGGACCGTGGTCTCGGGCCCGTTGCTCGCGTCAGCATGGGTTGAAACTGGGTGTGGAAAGTGCCGCGGATGGCAGGTTCGGAGCTTCCGCTCGTGACTATTATAGCCCAGCTACCATGGCTTGGGCACGTGCCTCTTGTGGCTAGGATCCCACCCCTCCGCCCGGTTGTCGTCTGCGGTGGACTGCTAGCAGTGCTCCGCGACTGCTGCTGAGGCCTGTCTTCTCATACGATCGTTGAATTTGCGAAAGACCAATCGAACTGTCTAGTAGCTGGTTCCCTCCGAAGTTTCCCTCAGGATAGCTGGCGCTCGGAAGTGCAGTTTTATCAGATGAAGCGAATGATTAGAGGCCTTAGGATCATAGGGACCCTAACCTATTCTCAAACTTTAAATTGATAAGATTTCCGACTTGCCAGAAGGAAGCCAGACTCGGAATGTGAATGCCTAGTGGGCCATTTTTGGTAAGCAGAACTGGCGATGTGTGATGAACCGAACGTGGAGTTAAGGTGCCCAGGTCGATGCTCATCAGTCCCCACAAAAGGTTTTGGTGGCTATAGACAGCAGGATGGTAGCCATGGTAGTGGTAACCCGCTAAGGAATGTGTAACAACTCACTTGCGGAAGCAACCAGCCTTGAAAATTGAGAGAGCTCAAGCATCACACCTATTCTCTGCCATCGGGGCGAGCGGCCTACCTCGACGATTAGAAAGACGCGGGAGTCGTGACGCAGCCTCTGGTGTAGATCTTGGTGGTAGTAGCAAGTATTTAAATGAGAACTTTGAAGACCTCAGAGGAGAAAGGTTCCATGTGGACAGCAGTTGGACATGCCTACAAAAAGGGAATTGGGTTATTATCCCGAACCGTATATTGCTACTCTTTGGCAGGTGTGGCAACGCAAATGAGCCCGGAAATAGGATTGCCCGAAGGTAGGGTTTGATGTCTGGTAAAGTACCACACTTCTCATGGTGTCTGATGCGCTCTCGATGGCCCTTGAAAATCCGGGGAAAACGATGATTTTTGCGTCTGGTCGTACTCATAACCGTAGCAGGTCTCCAAAGTGAGCAGCATCTGTTTGATAAACACTGTAGGTAAGGGAAGTCGGTAAAATGGATCCGTAACTTCAGGAAGAGAACTGGCTCCGTCAGCACCGGGTCTCTTATGCTGAGACTTGAAGCGGTTGGACTGGCTGAGGTCGATGCGGCCGGCTCCAGTCGGCGCAGTTGAGGTCAGACCAGGAGGAAGTGGCTATGGATTGGCCCAGCTCTGACTCGGGTCAGATGGGGAGAGGCGATGAATGGTGAACTTGGAACTGGCAGTGATCATGGGAATCAGACTATTAAATTAAAACAAAGCGTTGCGATGGCTGGAAATGGTGTTGATGCAATGTGATTTAAACCCAGTGCTCTGCTGATTCAACCAAGCACAGGTAAATGGCGGGAGTAACTATGACTCTCTAAAGGTAGCCAAATACCTTGTCAGCTAATTTGTGATGTGCTTGAATGGATGAACGAGATTCCATATGTACCATCTAACGAAACCGCAGCAAAGGGAACAGACTTTGCCGAATCAGCGGGGAAAAGGACCCTGTTGAGCTTGACTCTTGTCTGACCTCGTAAAAAGACATGAGAGTTATAGAGTGAGTGGGAGCCGCTCTGCTGCGCCGGTGAGACACCACTACTCTGAAGGCCTCTCTTTACCGTACTGGACGGAGTGCAGGAGAACCAGAAGGTTCACTTTCTGGAGTTAAAGCCCAGGCCTCATGTCGGAGCCAATCCAAGTCCGAGACACCGCCGGGCTGGGAGTTTGGCTGGGGTGGCACATCTGTCAAATGATAACGCAGGTGTCCTAAGGCGAGCTCAGAAAAAACAGAAATCTCACGTAGAACAAGAGGGAAAAAGTTCGCTTGATTATGAGTTTAAGTAGGAATGTAAACTGCGAAAGCGTGACGTATCCATCCTTTAAGCTTGAGGAGTTTCGAGCTAGAGGTGTCAGAAAAGTTACCACAGCGATAACTGGCCTGTGGCAGCTAAGCATTCATAGGGACGTTGCTTTTTTATCCTTCGATGTCGGCTCTTCTTATATTGCTAAGCAGAATTCGCCAAGTGATGGATTGTTCACCCATGTGACGATAGGTTTTCGCGCACCAAACTGAACTTCGCGGAAAACGTTCAAAACGGGGCAAAATAACTCGGTAGAGACCACTCGGCTAACGAGAACAGAAACTCGTCACGATTTCCTGGCATGCGGACATCTACTTCGAGCGAGCTTGTACGGGCGTCAAGGAACAGAGAGCGTTTTGGTTCCACAGTAAACTTTTATTCGCAGAGCGCTTTAACATAATCACGCTAGAGTCAAAACTAAAGCTGTAATCGGCACGCCGTCGTGTATGTAATCGGTACGCCGTCGTGGATGTAATCGAAAAAGCTTTACAAAGTACTTGCTTAAATATGAACTGGTGTGAGGTTCCATTGTTATACAAATCACAATATTTGAATAAGGACACAAGGAGCGGGAAAAGGTCTCTTTTAAGTTAAACGAAAACTATTTAAATATTCAATCTGTTTCTACGACGGAAAGAATCTCAAAATTAAAAAGACGGATACAATAAACCCCAGGCCATTAAAAAATAGGAAACCTAGGTGAGAATTCACAGCTCTGGAATAGAAAATATACCTATCTTAATTACAGCAGAGCAGTATAGGAAATAAAAACGGAAAAGCAATTAAAAGTTTCTGCTTATCTATGCAAGGTTGGTGTGGAAACTATCGTGTGAAAGGAAATTTAAGTTACGAGTATGAACTCAGCTGCTAACTACCATGAGAACCAATTTTTTAAGAAAGACCATTAACACTTATCTTTACCTAAAATTTTACTAGTAGTAAATAACAAAAGTGCCGACGTGCAGGTACATAATGAAAGCGAGTAGCAAGCAAAATCTATTCCAAAAGCTGCTGTGGTTTTATACATTTTTAATTAACTAAAATAGAAGAACTTGAATGAAACTGAATAAATTGGAATGGTTAAATGTGAAAGTTTACGAATAAATATGTTGCAAACAAACACACGAAAAAATTAGTAAGTTTTCCCGTAACACCCAGCAATAGGCTGGGTTTAGATCGTCGTGAGACAAGAGATGAACTGCAGATTCAGATCGCTGGCATTTGCACTTGGCTGTTGGATTACGACTGAATGCCTCTAATAATAATAATAATAATAATAATAACAACTTTATTTAAGGAGGGTAACACACAATAATTCAAATGATGAGCTAGTGTCCCTCGATCCTAAAGTACCGTATTTAGAATTAAAATGTATTTGAGGATTATAAAACTGGTCAACAGGTCTATCAGAATGCAAGCTAAAAACTAGATAAAATAAAATATGCCGCTTGGGTTAGGTTAAATCGCCTTCAGACTAAAGTATTCTACTTCATCGCAGCTTGATAGAAAATGTCTATGAAAGTTCTTTCTGAAAAAAGC